AAATGTTTTATAATAAAATAAACTTTTCATAGCTAAATAAAATAAACTATTAATAAACTAAAATTTTTCATCACAGGCGTTAGTCTCTAGGAGATAAAAAAGTTATTTCACGGTGATCACATGGATATCATTGATATTTTTACAGCTGCGCCGTGAAAATCAATGATATCCATTGATCCCTATGGAATAACTAATACATATAAAACTTGGAATATTAAATTAACAAATATTCTATCTTTGAGTTTTAGAATTTAATATATGTTTATGGCCAAACTACGGAATAATATGATACTTTAGTATTTGTATCTAATAAATATAAAATGATGATTTAATCTCAAAATGTATTAAAAAAGAGATTTATCATCTATTAAGAAAATATTAAAAACTCGTTTTCTACGATAGATTATTTAAGTCAATTTCTTGTATCATATGATTTAATTATCATTATATAATTTTTATACTGGTAAATTCAATTATTATCATTTTTATTATGTATAAGAATTATAAAGAAGAATATAAGGAATAAGAAACTCATGATATTGATACAGAAATAAAAAAAATGAAAAAATATACAAATACATTTATAAAAAAACTAAATTAATATTACAGTCAAACTATTACTTTTATTTTTATAGAAATTTTTTTTAAAAAAATATGCTTATAAAAAAGTATATTATGTTGTGATTATATAAAGATATTTTTTTATTTATTTAATCATAATTGGTTTTAATATAATTGAAATTATAGATGATTATTGTAAACAGATATAAAATTAGATTTAGTTTATTTGATTTGATTTAAAGACTGATCTTTTTAAATTAAGTTTATGCTATAAATTGAATTTTTAAATTAATTCTGAGACTTAGCTTTAAGATTAATCTTAAAACTAAATTTAGACTGATTTATACTAATTATTAATATTTATAATTCAATATTATATTTTATGTAAATATTACTTTTTAAATTTATTTATATTATTATTTTAATTTATAATACAGAATGTATTTATACTAACAGTAATATAAAATTTATATTAAAAAATAAAATATTTAAAAAAAAATTTAATTATTTATTATTGAAAAACAGTTGAATATAATAAAATCTTTATTTAATTTATTTTAATTTTATAATAATTTTTATAAAATTATATATTTACTAATAACTATTTATAATATAATTTAAGTTTATATTTTAATTTAAAATATAAAAAAATTAATATTATATTAATAATAATAAAATATTAAGTATTTTCTAATTAATTAATAAATAATATTTAAATTTATTTTTAAAAATATATAAAAGTTATATTTTATATTATATAAAATTATAATTAAAATTATTTAAATAGTAATTTTAATTTTAATTAAATTTATATCTTAATTAATATTTTATTTAATTTATTAGTTAAATAATTTAAATTATTTTAGCATAATTATTTATTTAATTAAGTTATTTATTAGTTTTAAAAATAATATAAATTACAATTAAATTCTTATGTTTTAGTTTAAGAAATAATATAAATTAAATTTAAAATACTTATAAAATATTAAAAAGTAATAATAAATTTAAATATAATTAAACTTTTAAATTAATATAAATTGTTAAATCTGTTTTAAATTTGTTATTATTAATTCCATACTTTTTTTAATTTTTACAAATGTTATAATTATTATTATATTAAATTTTATAATAATTATAATATTTTAACATTTATTATAATGATGCTTATCTAAACTTATTTTGAATTTATTAAAACATCTAAACCTTTAATTTTACTAAATTTTTATTAAAGTTGTAATATAATATTATCATTTTTATAAGGTTTGATATAATTTTACCTTTTTCTGAGTTTATTAAATTTTTAATAAGATTTTAATATAAATTTGCTAAATTTTATTTTTATCATTTGAATAATTTACAAAACGTTTATCTAATGATTATCAATAGATAAAATAATGATAAGATTATTAATTTGTTATATTAAGATATATCTAATATTAGTACTTTTAAATTTTTAAAATTAATTATTTTTAATACATATCTTAATTTCTAATAATAACAAAAAAATATATTTTAGTTTATTGGATTTATTTAATTAAAATATATATAGTAATAGCATTTTTTATTTTTGAAATCAGTAGATAATAAGATATATAAGTTTAAAAATTTAATCATACATTTATTTTTAAATAATTACTAGTTAATTACTTTTTTTTTTAATTTTTACACTATAAATTTATATAAAGTATTAAACTTTTAATAATTAATTTAAAAAAAATATTAAGAAATATTTTAATTAAATAAAATTGCAGACAAATTTATAGGTAAACCATTGAAGGGATAATATAAATATGAATAAAAAATAAATAAAAATGATAATTATTAATTAAAAATTTTAACGTATTATTATTTATAAACAAGTATATCATCATAATAAAAATTTAAAAAAATTTACAATTGAAGATATTATTTTCTTATTGAACATTTTTATGAAAATTTAAAAATAAATAATTTTTACATTAATATTATAATAATGCTTTGTGATTTTACTAAAAATAAATAATTATCAATATTGTATTCTTATTGGCCAATGCATACCAAATCTTTAACCGACAATTTGTAAGCAATAACGATGTTCTTTTCCGGTCGGTTGGTTCTTCTGTCAGTTTTATATACATAAGAAGTTTATTTTGTGAATTGAGCTGGTTTGTAATGATGTTCGACCTACGTGTGACAACGAATGTTAAAATCAGTGGTCGTGCTTATTACCTAACAACCAAATTTTTTTGTTTTTAAGTTCAGAGTCGTACAAAGTTTACGTTTTCTATTGGATTAAAAATAATATATTTATTTTTTTTTTTAAAATAAAAAAATAATCTAAATGACAGTTGCCTGGCAAAACTCTCGGGTTTCATTGGCAAAACTGTAATAAAATCTTATTGGCAAACCCGTTGAAACTCGAAACCATAATAAAATCCCGTCAAAAGTCAAAACTATATTATATACTTATTAACAAAAATCCGTAGGGTTTCGACTTTTGCCAGGCAACTATACTAAATGATTTGGGACCAAAAAATTTCTTTTAAATTTTTAATAACGTTAATTATAACCGGTCAAATATTCAGATCAATTAATTTGGCCAGATTTAACCAAATTAGTTATAATTTAGGCGGAATGAAGGTAAGCCGACATATTGAAATATTGAAATAAAGAAGTTTGGCTTTAAAAGTCTTACACAATAAAGATAATTGTAAATAAAAGCCTAACAAGGAAAGGAGGAAAGCAATTTCTCAAAGTTGGTTTAATACAAGAAACAAAATGATAAATCGTCTTGGTCTGAGCTAATTGGTACAGATTGAAACATTCTAAGCTTTGAACTATTAAACAAGAATTGTTTATTGATACATACAAATCTTGTATTACCTCCGGCAGTCCTGTTAAATATTTTTCCCCTGTTCGAAACGTTTAAAGCAAATGGTTTATGCAAATATGCCGATAAATAGAAACCAAATATTTATTTTGGTGGGAGCAAATTGTATGGCTGCAAGCATGCTGCAAGTTGAGGAAAAAAGAAATTTCTATGATATTTTATTTATACATAGATAGGTAGATTTTTCATGGTGAGAAATTATTTGTGAGGTTGGTAAATATTTATAAATATTTGTGAGAATGTTAGATATAGTTCATCCAACCCTATCCAATCTTTTTAAGATTCAAACTTTGCAATTTGTTGGAAAAAAAAAAATTTTAACAATCGTGCAAATTGTTAAGATACGATATTTAGCAATCAACAATATGTACAAATGGATTGAAAAAACAAATACGTATTTCATGTAGGCGTTAATTTTTCGCAACGAAACACAAATTGTCTGAAGGGAGGACGACAGATATTTTCGATTTCTTTTTTAGTGTCCATTCGTTCATTGAATAAATCAATTGGACTAATTTTAGTTAGTACATTTATAGTCTGATTATCTAAAAAAAAAAGATTAAATTACGTCACAAGTAATCTCTCGCGTCATGATTCATTTTAATTTTTTGACAATTAAACACCATCCACTTAAATCTATATTCACACACTAGTTCATAAAACTTTACTACATCCAGATTCGTTATAAACAATTTTATTCATATTTATATAAAATAAATAAGAAAAAAAAATAATAAGAAAAAATGGAAAAAAAACACGTTAAATTGAAATTATCGAGGAAATAAAAATTTTTAAAATTTTTTAAATTTATTAAAGGCTCTGTAAGTAGCAGATCGTCAAAGAGTTTTTTTTAATTCCCTTGTGCAATTTTTTTTTTTTATTTTATTTTTATCCCTGCGTTAATGTTAATGAACATTGTATGCCTTTTGCATTGCATATTAAATAAAAAACGGGTATTCTCATAAAAACAAAATTCGCCAAATTACTCTTACTGAAATTTTGTTTGGTTGATCCTGAAGTTATATACTAAAATGGAATTAGCCCCTTAATGGCTGACGCTAAATCATATGTCTCTATATTTTTTCACGCATGAGTTTCAAAAATTATTTTATTTTCTAATTCTTTTTTGTTTAATGACTGAAATTACAATTAATTATTTGATCTTACATTTAGGTTAAAATTTTATCTGCTTAAAAAATAAATATATCTAAAAATTTACTATAAAATGAAAGAAAAACATACACACACACACACATGATTTATCATGCTTCGTGACACACGGTTCAAATAAATATTCTAGTCGTGTAAAATATAATTTAATTTCATCTTCTCATGTCGATTCGAGAGAAAATTAATTGAATATTTGACGTTACACGGGATAAATGATGAAATAGAGGAGTCAATTTGATCTCTGAAATAAGATATCGGAAGATCAATTAGGTCAAAGTAAAAGGTAATAAACCGCAGGTCCACAATAAAAGGAAAAAAAACTTACGGTTGTTGAGTACGAATGCTTAGTCCACACCTATGAAAATCTACAAAATAATTTGACAGTTAAATTTAGCCTATAAATTATATTATCAATGTAATGTTACTTACTATTCAGTCCATTAAGTGACTTGTAACTATTACAACAAAAAAAAAGAAAAGAAAAAGAATTGGTAAACATCTTAGTCGAAAGCATTTAAATTAGAGAAAAAAAAAATTTTAATTACCGATTCCTACAATCGGGAGCCGACCTTCCAAGTTCTCTTGCAATTTTTGCCCAGTCACGTCCATACTTAACAATTAGCCCATCGAACCGGATTTGTTCCTACGCAAAATGAAAAGAATGTTAATTTTTAAGATAAATAAAAATAAAAAAAATTACTCTTCTTAATATTTATATTGAACGTACATTATTCGTCCATGTTCCTTTTCGTAATGGGATCATATTGCTTGGCCTTAGTTTTCTTTAGTAATTATATAAAAGAGGGGTTATATTTATTTTTTTATAAAAAAAATTCCGAAACTTAAAAACTGAAATTAAGGCGTTTAACGAACATTTTTAAACATTTTCGAAATATAACACAGGGAACGCATTGACTACTAATGATTTTCTGCAACTGCTGATTTACATTGACAGGTCTTTCCATTTAATTTCTTTTTGGTAAATTTTCAATGATTCAAAATGCAAGCTCCTTAAAAATGTACATGGAGGAATGAAAAACGCAAATTCTGGTAAGTTTCATATCGAATTACAATCAGACAATACAGATGTCAGAATGTAAAAAGTCAATGCATCTTGGGATTTGTCCAATCCCTGTGAATTTTTGTGGAAATGTCATTCTTCATAATGAGATTTTATGTGGCGTTCGATTATATATAAAATAATTTGTGAAATAAAGGTAATTTATCGTGCATTTTTACTTGTTCGACTACAGGCTTTTAAATATTTCCCAATTTTTCAAAAACTATGCATGGGAGATGTGAAAAAAAAATTTTTTTTCTCAATTTTTTTTTTATGATAATCTTATAAATTAACTTTATAAGGCAAAAACGAATTATATTATGAAATAATTCAAAGCTTGACTAAGCATGGATTTTCAGGGCTTATGCACAGCACATTACTTGTTGATGTAATCAAATTAACGTTAACTTGTCAATATATGCAGAAGCAGCAAAAACAAATTTAAAGATCAATCGGATGATTATGTATTTGAAGGCGCAATTCTGCTGATTTAATAATTCAATGAAACTTGAAGAAATTATACTTCTTACTATAATATAACTTTATTATCCACATTTTTCTTCATTACATAGAAATAATTTGAAATCGCAAAATCATGTTAGATTGAAAAGATTCCGCATGTGCAAAATAATTATATAGCACGGTCAAAATGCTCAAACTTACTTGTTTGGCGAACAAACAGAATGTAGAATATATAATTAGGTATATTCGCACCTGGAAAAGTATTTGTAGAATCAATATTTCATCAAATTAATTGTTATATGGATTAAAGTCACTTCACTTTACGGATCATACAATTTATTATATCTCGTGTCTCGATTTTAAAAAACAACACATACTTGAATCGCACTATCCAAAAAAAAAAAAGGAAATCCGAAAGTGGAAATATATCATAGGAATATTTTTAGATTTTCCTTTTTTTTTGTAAAACAGTATCTGAAAAAAAAAATTTTTTAAAAAAATGTTTTGTATTTAAAGAAATATATTTTTATAGTTAATAAAATCTATTCTTTGAACGTTATTTCCATGGAAATAAGTCAGTCTGTTCGATTAAATTAAATCAAATTTGCTAAATACTTCAAACAACGTTAAATCCATGGAATAATCATCAGGTGTTATTTTAAGGATTTTAAAATCTATTCTAGAAACGAGAATGTAATTTATTTAAATTGGGCGGCAAGTATAATCGTTGAAACAAAATGCATTCTATGTTTTCACATATGCGATGAAATAATAATTGACGATCCAGAAAATATTAAATGTAAAATCCTTTGTCCATTTAAATAATTATAGAATCATTTATCAAAAATAAAAGAAATATTACATCACGAACGAAGGACTTTCAAATTAGTCACGAGACATAGTAAATCATATGATCAGTAATGTGATTTTAATGGATTATTAATCCAGTACACTTTACGGATCAAATGACTTACTATGTCCATGAAACCGTCCTGACGTCGCCTGGGCGACGCTATGTAAGCCTGACCGTGACGAATTTTAATAAATGAAGCAAAAAGTATACATACCAATATGGCTACCTTTTATTATCAACGTTTATTTCAGTTACGTTTAGTCATTTGAAATAGTGAAGTCGGGGGTATACATAATAATGCTGTCAGCACTTTAAAGAAGGTGAGATCGTAATTTACAATGTGTTTTATCCATAATATTCTGTACATTTCATGAATGTGAGGACCATCAAAATGGTTCGTTTTTGGTTTCGTGTGATATGGAGTGTTCTTTCTACAAAAAAAAAAAAAAGAATTAGAATACACATACAGAATATCATTATAATTTCGTAACGATTGTGAGTATTTCCTGTCTGAGTATTTTCTGGTGCATTGAACCGGTATTCTTCCCTCGTCTACCTCAATAGACATGCCCTTTGGATTACCTGAAATATCGCTATCATTTCGAAAAGAAAGATTCCTGCCACTACGTGAAAAAGTTTTATGGTTTGTCGTTATAACCTCGTATTAATATCGGTTCACACGTGTGAAAATGTAGTCAAGCATTACGATACATTCGACCACACAAAAGATATAGACAATTTTGAAGGATACATATGATGAGACCTTAACCTACGATTGCAAAGAATACAGCGAGAACATGATAAAAATTTATAATGTAGAGTGAATTTTTGTTTTTGGGAGAGAGCCACTTTATATATACTATTTTCCTTTAATCATTTTTTGGTCATTGTGATGTCATATATTGTCGGAATTAGGATCAAAAGAGCAATGCAGTTTGTCGATCATACATATACCATACCAATCATCCAATAATAAACAACAAACAAATGAGTCCTTGAAATGCTTGTAATGTTTCTAAAGAAAGACCTAAATCGGTATTTCTCCCTCCTGAAGCATTTCCGAATACTCGTGAGTAAAGATGGTCTCCATAATTATTTTTAAATTTCAATTGAGTTGCAACTTAATTGCGACATAAGAAAATTTAATTGCGCCACAAGTTGCAACTCAATTGCGCCATTTTTTTTAATTGCGGTGCCCATCTTTACACGTGAGAAATAAGAGGAATAGCAGACGTAATTTTATTCTTATCGTTTGTTTTATTCATGTACATTTTGTGCCTTGCCATCTTCCACTTAAGAAATTATCTGTTTTCCAGAAAGTACTGCCAGAATTTGTCATTTATTTTAATGCAATTCTAATTAATTGATAATCTATTGTCAGTAAAGGTGACTTAAATTTGAAATAAAATTAATGACACTCTAAACAACATGATATAAATTATTTCTTCGCAATTTTTTATTTTTTTTTAAAAAAAAAAAGTCAAAAAATTAAGAAACAATAATAAAAGATTCTTAGGTTAGACACGGACTATTGTTTCTCTAGATATTTTTTATAACTATTTCATATAATAACTTTCTGATGACAAAGTACTTAATCATAATTTGTTATAAAATTAAAATAAAATATTGGATAGAACTTTATGGAGTATGATTTATTAAAGAATAGAGAAATTATAATAGAATTCAAGGATAACATTGATTACCAATTTGAATTCGAAAAATCGCACCACTTCCATAACTATAATATTATTTGAAATCATTTTTTTTTTTTTTTTTGACGGATTTACTGTATATACTTTTGTTAAAAGAATTCCAAATTTTTTTCTTGTAGATCTCTCGTAATGGATTTTTATGCAGAATAAAGAAAATTCTTTCGATCCACTCCAAAATTATATACCAATTACGTCCATTTCTTTTAATGGCGTGAAAACACATGTTATAATTGCGAAATTGAATATTTCACGACAACTCTTATATGTTTAATTACAAGTATTGTAAAGTTGGTTTATTTGAATATATTAAGATAGCATTCGATATGATTGCATGTTAGATGTGATCATAGAAAATAGTATGTCATGAAGTAGAATTTCGAAAACATAAATTCAAGAATGGCGTATCGCTCATATTTCATATTTAGAAATGATCGTCAAAATTGTTCAAATGCGATTGTTTTGTCTGGATGGTCAATATGTTCTTCGATTACATCATTTACTTGTGCCATCCAAAGGTCAGTAATTAAAAGAAGCTGTTTCAAGGTATTTACTTAATTCTTCAACTGATTTAGTGTAGCCATATGAATTCTTTTGTTTTTTTTTTTTACTTCTTTTATTAGATGAAATGAATTGGAAATGCAGGATCAAGAATTGACAACCTTTTCCCTGATTCTTTATGCGGTTAATTTTAACCTGTTCTAATAATTATGGCAAAGTTCAAGTGAATAATTTTGTCTTTTAAGCTATTATAATGAATTAAATATAATAATACCTTATTCATTCCTATATGAATGTTATGTTTTCCGCGAAGGTGTTACCTGTAGAACCATCATGCTAAAGTCGTTGACTACAATGGCTTTCTTGCATTGAAATATTATCATACCCAACTTCAAATTGAATGAATGTCTTCAGAAGGTTCATCCTTCATTATTGTAAGCTTATTATTAGAGGTAATCGTACGTATAGGGTAAATATTGGTAACGAATTGAAAATTAAAAAATCAGCAGGATGTTTCGGAAATATACTTTCTCATGAAGGTTAAAGCTTGTTATAGAGAAAATAGATATTTTGTGGCAAACAACTCAATGTGATTAAAGGTATCAAAAAACAAACTATTTAAAAAAATACTTTACCGCGTAAATTTTGCGAAAGTAAAATCCAAGAATGTACGCAAATCTAAAAATTATATCATAATCATCTGCATTTTTTATGAATTCAACCGGGCTGATTAACGATCGGGCAATTGATATGGGACCTTTGTAATAGAAGAGGAGGACCCCGAATAATACTAATATAGGTAACATCCAGCCAAAAAAATACTAATGTCTGTACGCAGCACTTTTTACTATAGTCCGTACGCATATGCATTCGGAACATCTGACTATAATAAAAAATTTTTTTTTTATTAAATAAAACTTTATATATTGACGAATTTAGAGAGGTGAAAATAAATAAGATAATAATAAAATGAAAATTTAAAAAAGTCTAAGAAGGGGATTTAGGGGGTACTTGGTACCCCCAGAAAATAAAACCTTTTTTGTTAATTTTATAGATTATAATTTAAAATGTCAAGCGACTATTTTATGCGACCATAATTATGATTAAATTAGATATCGGTCAAAAATACATATTACTATTTTAAAATCCAAATAAAATTACTCAAATAAAAAACTATG